TCCGAAAAGGCAAAAGTCATGGCTTGTTGGAAGGCTAAAGGGGCATTACAAAGCCCAAAAGGTATGATTAAAAAAATGAAAGTACCTCAAGGAGTAGTGAAAGCCATTTTATGGCAATCTTCTAAGGCTATAGCAATTTGATTATAACTCAAATATCCATCCATAAATATGTAGGTTTTATGACTTGCCACTTTATTTAAAATATTATTAATGAAAGAACGAAGAAAGTGGTCTTTTTTGGTGTGCTCATTGAGTTTACTATTATCTATGCACACTTTTAATTTACCATTCTTTTTCTTCACAAAGACCATGAAAGAGACTCAATTTATTATTTCTACTAGCTAAATAAAACTAGTTTGTAAAAATTCTTTTAACTTTCTTTTAATAATTAATTGAAGTTGAAGGTTCATATATCTTTCTTATTGTCTAATTGTCATGGCATCAAGAAAAGAATAAAGAGAATGTCGTGTTGAACTACCTCAAGTGGTATATCCTTCAAATCTTTATAGGACCATGCTAAAATGTCTTGGTATTTTATGATCAAATTATGATATCTAGGCACCTCTTCTTTATTTAAATAAACTCCAATTTTAATTTTTTTAGACTCTTCTCTTTCATGAAAAATATCTATGAGTTTTCATTCAGATTCTTGTATTAAAGATTTTTTTCCATCATCTTTTTAATGATAAAGGTTGAAATCTAAACATTCTATTTTCTTTAAATCTTGAACAATTGAATTAATCATCTTTGTTAAATTGTTTTTTTTATTTTTATTTTTATTGGATATCTTCTAACAAATCAATGGAATTAATTATTCCATAATTAAAGATAAGTTATATAAATTTTTGATACTATTCTTCCATGGACCAAAGATAATGTCAAGCTTGTTTCCTCCATAGTTTATTATAGCTTTTGAATCCCTCAACTATGGCCTTTCAAGCAATAAGATAAAAGAATCCTTTGATGTATGTATTTGAATGATATGATATGGCAAGGCATATTCTTTTCCTTCAATCCACATCTTACAATTTTCTATTTAGCCCACATGAATAGATAGACTTTGATTTGATATTTTCATAACAAAAAGAGATGGACTAGTGATATTTAATCCTAGTTTCTCCATATTTTGAAAGAGCATAATATTCAAACCACTTTCACCATCTACAATGGTATAAGAAATTATTTTATCCAAAATAGAAACCTCAATTTTAATTATTTTATTTCACTTTATTTTGTATAGATATCTATTTTTGCTACCATCATAATTTTAGGGCTTCTTTGATTTTTCATGAAAATACAATTTTTTAGTGCCTTCTTAATCGTTGGAGAAATTTCTAATAATTGAGGAACTATAATATTAGCTTTTAATTTACTAAAAATATTCCATAATTTATATTCTTACTTATTAGAATCTTTTATATTCTTGTATTATTGAATAATTTCAAATTTTGAAATTTTGGAATCTTTTTAACTACGATTATTTAGATTAATAATTGGCTCATATTCAACCTCAAAATTTTAGAAGGATAATTCTTCTACTAAAAGATCAAATCTCATAAATTTAGTTGTTGTCATATTGCATGGTTTTCTATCTCAGAATATAGAGTACTTAGCTGTAGAGAGTTTAATTTAAACTTATTAGCCAAGCTCCAATAAGTTATTTAACTTTTAAAGTAGAAGACAAATAAATACTACAATATCATTTTTTTTTTTTTTTTTTCTTTGATGGTGCAGCAACACAGTATTTTTCATGATGTGAAGGAGATAATAGAACTATTCCAAAATGATCGGAGCTTGTCCCATATGAGAGAGAGAAAAAAAAAAAAAAAAAAAAAAAAAAAAACCTTTGAAAAATAAGTGAGACGGATTTAGGGCGATGCAGAGAGGCTGCCGAAAGTAAGGAGCAACCTCTTGCCTTGTGATCATATTCTACTTTCTCTATTTTTATTTTCTTTTTTTCTTTTTTTTCTTTTCTTTTTCTTTTTTGTCTTCTTTTCTTTTGTCCTTCCTTCTTTCCCATCGTTCTCTTTCTTTTTCTTCATTCTCCTTCTTCCTTCTTCTCTTTTCTTATATCTTAAAATATCTTATAATATTTTTGATTAATTACAATATATTTTCAAAAAGATATTTTATTAGTAAAAATTTTTATATTTAAGAAGGTTTGTATGTAAGGCTTTCTAAAGTATCTAGAAATTTCCTCACATTCTTGGCTATACCAAATCATAACTAATCATTTGCCGATAAGTTAGGTTTTCAATAATTCCAAAGAAAATCTATAATAAACTCTCAAAAGCTTACATTCATATCAAAATTTAACTATAGCTCCATATATCCATCTTCAACATATATATGAAGTCTTGACTTTCAAAAAACCTCTTAATTTTGTCTAATGTGTTCAAATTATATATATTTTTTTTTAAATATAATATTCCCAAAAAAGATTTCTTCTTTTTAAACTTCAAAAAATCATATCTTTTAATCCAACTATTTCATTTTTGTCAAATTCACAAACATTATAGAATTTATTCTTAAACTTTACCTCAAAAAAATTCAATTGTAAATTTGCTACCAATTGTTTGGTATCTTAAAACTCCTAGCAGGTTCTCTAAAATTCTAATTCACAAGCATTCAAGTACTATTTTCTTCATATCTTACAAATCCAAAACCAAAATACTACAAAACTTACATATAAAGTTTAGTAACATAAAAATACACATTCTTAGAATTTTTTAGTCAAAATCTTATCAAATTGCACAAAATATAGCTCAAAATACAACTACTAGTAATTTAGGTCACTTACTACTCCTTAGATTCCAAGCACTAATTTCAACTTCCAATATCTCCTTTATCCCAGCTTAGACTTCATTGATCAATATATTTAAAGTATAGCCAAGAAATTTCCCTCTCTAACCTCAATTATTGAACTTTAATTACTTTTTGTATAAATATGTTATATCCAAAAGAGTGACAGTAGGTACAAAACCAACACCTTGACTTTAAGCGCCTATATCTCCTTCATAAAGACTCCAAATGACTCAAAATTAATACCCAAATGATAGTCAAAAACTTGAACTTGTCAATCCTAGCTTCTAATGTTTAAATTGCTCGAAAGAATAATCCTAATCTCTAATAAGGTCTTAGACAACCTCTTTGAAGCCCATTGGACATGATTTTTAGCCAATAGGAATGAAGATTTTCTTCATCCATATGGATGCCCTAACTTCTCTTTTTGCTATCAAGATACTTCTCCAACCTTCTTTTTTTATAAGATTTATATAATATATGTCCTAAATACCAAATAAAAGAACCAAAATAAAACTTTAAGGGTCACCAATGTCTAACAAGGGTGACTCTAAATATATAAAAGTTACTACTAATAAGATCAACTTCAAAAGTCACTATCAAAAAGAAATCAAACTAAAATCAAAAGAAAATTGGAACCAACTTAAAAAAAATCAATCAAAGTTAAAAAGTAGAAATCAAGTTGGCCTGATCAACATGGTTTTTGAAATCTATAGCATTGATCTTCTTTGCAATCCTAACTACCTCTTCAAATGTTTGTGGATCCTTTAATTCTACCTATTTCTATATCATAAGTTTTAATCCTTGTATAAATTAATCCATCATCTCCACCTTTGAAACAATGCCAATTTAGACATATAAAGACTTGAATTGAAAGATATAATCTTACACTTAACTAGATTGTATAAGATTAGTCAATTAATTACATGCTAATATTTTTGCATTGATGGACTGAAATTGATTCCTAAGTTTGGTCTCAAACTCCTCTTAGTTAAAGAATCCAACTTGAGCTCTATAGTTTTAAGCTCAATGTTGCCATCAAATGACTATCATACTTCTCAAATAGCTAATTACATACATAATTCTTTGAGTGGTGCTTGTCTCAGATAATTAGAAGTATTGTCTTATGTTGAAGAGCCATTGTCATACATCTTCTTGCCTTGAAGTTCCAAAATATGTTTTGGGCTTATTTAATTTCAACCTTGCAGATGTCAATTTCTTTGCCTTAAAAGCTTTTATTTGTCTTTGCAAAGTAGTTATTTGATCTAAGAGGTATTGCACTTGAGCATCCTTCCAAAATAGCTCCACCATATCTCCTATGTTGTAATCTCTTTATCAAACTTTGCTACTGTAATGTCTTCTATCCTTCCAATCAACTTCTTAAAAGTAGCTCATGGTAGCTCTTAAGCAATAACTTCTGTGACCACAACAATTGACTTCTAACTAAATAGTAGTTATTAACACATCACTAAAGAAAAGATGTAAGCCATTGAATTGATCCACCTTGATATTTAGTATAAAAGTTGGACTTATTGTATTTAAAATACAAATTTTATGAGATTAGTAGTAGAATTTTAGGAAAAAATAGAAAATAGATTATTAGTAGCGGACATGCAATGTAGGATAGAGTTTAGTAAGAAAAATACTATAAAGACTATATTTTTCTAATTAGCTAATAGTAGAGGAATTACAAAGGAAGTAGTCTTGATATCAAAAAGAAAAAAATTATTATTTGTTAATAGCTCCTAAAATATATATATATATATATATATATGATAAGAGATAAATAATTATATAAAAATTAGAAGCAAGGTCAAAGAAGGAATAAATCTATGTATATATATATATATATTATATGTAGTAGATGGAAGAGGTAAAAAGCATAAAAGAATAGTAGAAGAATAGTAGAGAAAAAGGAGAAGAAAAGAGAAGAAGGAAGAAGGAGAATGAAGAAAAAGAAAGAGAACGACGGGAAAGAAGGAAGGACAAAGGAAAAGAAGACAAAAAGGAAAAAGAAAAGAAAAAAAGAAATAAAGAAAATAAAAATAGAATATGATCACAAGGCGAGAGGTTGCTCCTAACTTCCAGCAGCCTCTCTGTCGATACGAGTCTGCGTCGCCCCAGATCCGTCTCACTTATCTTTCAGTGTTTTTTTTTTTTTTTTTTTTTTTTTTTCTCTCTCTCTCGCGTGGGACAAGCTCCGATCATTCCGGAACAGTTCTATTGTCTCCTTCACATCATGAAAAATACTGTGTTGCTGCACCATCAAAGAAAAAAAAAATAAAAAATAAAAAATAAACCAGATCAGAGTCGCAGCTAGGTGTCGGAGGACCACAGGCATCTTTTGAAGCGGTGCAACAATTTTTTTCTTTTCTTTTGGTTTTCCCATTTTTGTTGTGGGCAGTGACCTCTCTTGCGGATTTTGCTTGATGTGAAAGCTCCGCAATTAGCGTGGTCATCGCAGCTAAGTTGTATTATTTTTATCGTTACTTTCGCATTGAAAGAGCCCGATGGTTGTCGTCGATCCGTTGCTTGCTAGTTCAACATTTCTTGTTCGGCACGGAAGGAAGGAGAGATACAACCGGTGGTTGCGTCGTGGATCTCTTGTCTTCTTTGTATGCGACGACTAGCCAGAAAACCTTGTGTCGTAGTTTTGGCGGTTCTGAAGCAGGTCGAGGGGGCTGCTCGCTCTCATTCAGGGCGCTTCTGCAGCATTGTTAGTGGCGATTCTATTTTACTTTTTGTTCTCGTTGGCGGTCTTGCTTCCGAGTGTGCTGCGGTCAAGACTTGCGTGCAAGCTCTCGTTTTTTCAGTGTGCGATCGTGCCGAGGGTTGCCCTGAGATCGACCAAGGAGGCCCTTGTGATCGACATAAATTGATCTTATTTATTGGTATGAAGAAGGAGCAGCGTGCGGTGGTCTGCTGAAGGCCCTAGTATTAACGTCCAAAGCGACGCTCGCCCTGAACATCAAGAAAATTGGTTCGGATTTCCGGGAAGGAGCTACCGGGGTCCGTCAAAGTGCGCAGCCCGGTCACATTTCTTTCTCTTTGCTTTTTGTTACGGGTTGGAGCTCGGATTTTCTCGGTGTGTGCTTCTTCATCGAGTGTGTTCTGGGATTGTTGCTTTTCCGGCGCGTTGGAGAAAATCAATTTCTTTTGACAGTATTGTCTGGTCGAGGGAGAGCCCCTCATCTGGAGCAGATTGGAAGGGAGTTGCAAGATTGTGGTCGAACGGAAGGAACGTCTTGTGAAGAGGGACACTTCTTCAACGTCCCTGGTCAGAAGCATATTGCAAGGTGAATTAAGTTTCGGAAGAAAATTTTAGGTTAAAAAGTGAAGTACTCAATTAGGGTTGATTGCATTAGAAGTCGGATGATAAATATTAATTGTTGGATGAAATTTAATAAAAAATGAACTTTAATCAACTTGGATGAAAAGATTAGATGAATTTTGATTGAAGTGGATGAGTTCTCATTCATAGACAAGAAATTATTCATGGATGAATTTTATTGAATTATTTAAGATGAATAAAGAGTGACTTGATACAAATTTAATTAATAGTTACAACTACCAAAATTCACAAAATTAATTCACTCATTGTAAACTAGAATAAACTTCCAACTAGTTGAGGTTTATTTTAGCTCAAATTTTGGTCCAATTGCCAAGAGAGAGATCTTATAAGTCTTAGGATTTCTTAGAAGGCAATTATTTATTGTTGTGTACTTCTAAATTGTTTTATCTTATGCGAGTATAATCTCTTGGTATTGTTGTGGATTGAATTGTGTAGGAACTCGTATTAAAAAGGGAGCTTGAAGAATTTTAGAATAAAGTAGAAAGAAGCTTAGTTAAGAATTTAGAAGTATTTTGAGGATTAAGATTAAATTAGGAGTAGACAAGGATCTTCACCAAAAGAGAGTTTTTCTTCAAAATGGGTTATTACTTCCTTTCTTTGTCAAATCCTTGTTGATTGCCCATCTCTAGTGGTTGAAGGGATTTAATCACCTTCTCCACCCTTCATATCCTCTCTTTACATTTAATTGTAAATTCCTTGTTGGTGGCAATTCTTTGATTGTAGAAGGATTTAATCACCCTTTTTAACCACTATATCCTTCTTATTCACAGGTATAGTGTAGAAAAATTCTTCAAAAATATTTGAAGAGTTTTTTCATCAACAATTCAAAGAAAACTATTTAGAAGAAGAAAATAAGAGAAAGAAGAGATAGAGGTGGAAGAAAAAAGAAAGAATTCTAATTCATAGGCTATATTCTAAGGTAAGTTTTTTTAGCATAATCAATTGAATTTTTTAATTTTTATTAAATTAATATAGATTGTGGATTGAAAAGCAAGGAGGTTGAAGAAAAATTGGCATGGAAAAATAATAATTCAAGTTTCTTAACATTTGTGAACTATTTCAATTATTTCAAATTTTTGTATATGCATGTGAAGCAAAGAGCAAGGAGTTGGAAGATAGAGCCTAGGAAGGAGAAATAGAAGAGGTATTCATCTATTCTTTCTTTTAGGGCTTGGTATAATGGATTAGAATAGAACCTTCACTAGTGACCTTACCTTTTAAATCTAGTCCATGATTGATTAGAAAGATCGTTTGGAACTTTTCTAGGTTGATTTGTTAACAAGTGACAAGATGGCTCGCAATGCATCTAGATGAGTTCTTCTTCAAGTTGGATTGATGTAGGTTGATGAATATAAGATAATAAAAGTTTGAATTTGACAAGTTACCTTGTTTAGCTTATTTTTTGGTTTAGTTTTTATTTTTTGAGATAACGTCATAATCGTAGCAATTTAATGGACCGCTCTACTAAGTCCCATAGACCCGTATTAGTGCAACTATTAGAAAATCCAGAGTCTTTAAGAATTATCAGACCTCCTTTACTAAACATTAGAACTTTGACTCCTAGACTTGATTTAAATACACCTAGAAACCTCTTTGAAGAATTTGAAGATCTTTTTTTAGAGGATCTTGAAGAAGTTTCAAAAAACTTGTTTCTAAAACCTTTGATAGATAATAAAAGTAATTCACATCAAGAGGGTGTTGTGTCACCTCAACTACAAGAACTAATGGATCCAAATAGAGAAGAATGATAAGAACTACTACCTTTACCAATTAATCACTTGGTTTAACTAACAAGTTTACCTATTCGAGTTCTAGAGGGACTTAGTGCTGTACCTATGCCTCCTAATCTTCCTATTTTCAAAGGTAGAAGAGATGAAGATCCTTTGACCTACATAGAATATTCTATAATAAGACTTACTATGTATTAGATAATGAATGGCCGGTATTATTTAGTGTGGTTTTCAACCACTTTAAAAGAGGGAGCATATAAGTAGTATCGCAACTAGTCTTTTAATACCTTCTTAAGTTTAGATATGATTCAACATACATTTTTAAAATAATTTTGGCCTAAAGTAGGACAAAGCACGGCCCTAAGTGCTTTATCTTCTCTTAGACAAGGAAAGGATGAAGACATTATATTGCTTATTTTACATTTCAAATTAGTCATAATAAGGTTTGTAGGAACCTTGTTCACTGATATTACCTTGAAGTATTTCTTTATTCAAGGATTTGTAAAGGAGGAAACCATTAAAGAAATCCTTTATGTACGTCCTAAGAACCTTATAGCAGTCAAACATGCAGCAAAGGAAGTAAAAAAAATCAACAAAGAACATGAAAGATTATAGCCTAAAGAAGACCATAATATCCTTAGCTTCATATCTATACATGCTAGGATTCCTTATGTATCAAGCTCTCAAATGCATGAATAACTTCTCTTTATTCCCACAACCATAGGAGCATATTCTTTATCATTAAACATTAAGCCTCCACCTCCTTCATTTGCTTTAACCTATCTTAGTGAAGATAATAGGTAGAAGGAGGATTTACAAAAAGAGATGAGGGCATCTCAATTATAATTTCAAATCCAAATCTCTCATCAAATGAAGTTGATTATAGAACTAATAGTTGGACAAGTTAGAAATTCTAATTCCAATCGTCTTCCACCTCCCATTGAATGAGGAAGACATACAATGGGATTATGGTGTATTCAATGTAAACAATCAAGGCATTTGGATCAAATTTGTAATTCCATTCTTCCAAAAAAACCAACACTTCCATCCATATGTCCTAGGATACAAAAATAAAATCTTTCAAGGATATAATATAGGGCAACAAGGATTTAATACTAGAAGCCAAGGTCCTATGAATCTAATAAGATAATAAATAGAATTTCACACATTTTATGGAAAAAAAGATTCACTTGGTTAATGTTGGATTAAAAACCAAGTAAAATGTAGAAATTGTGGTGGTAACCATCCCACAAAATTTTGTAGAAAATCAGATAGAATAGTTCCCTTAGAACCTCTACCTGGTAATTATTCTCAACAATCATTTGATAATCATAGGCGAGCAAGACAATCTCTAATAGATAACAACCTAAGGCCCTCAAACTTGTATTATGGCTATGAAATAAATAGACAAAATCATAATGTATCTAGTAGGCTTCAAACTAGTTCTTGATATATTTTGTTCTATCCTAATTAAGGTCAAAATCCTTCTAATCAATGAAGACATGGCCAATGGTTCCAAGATGTGAGATTGGCATCTTAGCTCATAGGAAAGTTGAAACTTGTTCAAAATTCTATCCAACTTTGAAAAAAATCAATCAAAGAGAAAGAGCTTAATTATAGTATCAATCCTAGTAATAATGACTAGATCTAGGGTTACATCTTTACTTCTCTATCAAAAAAAGGAAAATAATATCTTAGAGAGTCCACCTTACTTCTTAGATTTAGAATAAGTTAGGAGAGACATAATTAAAAAAACTAAAAAAAAAATAGCTAAATCTGAGAAATTTGATCTCTTAGTAGAAGATTTTTTCTTCCAAAATCTTGGAATTGAACACAAGCCAAGTGTTGATCCAAATAATCATAATTGAGAAGGCCCACAAATTCTCTTAGTTGAATTCCTTCAACACAAGGATGGAAAGGAATCTAATACATCCAAGTATAATTTATGGGATGATCTTAGCAAATTAAAGGCTAATATTACCTTTGCTCAATTATTGGATATTTTTTCAATGGTTAGGAAGTAATAAAGACCTGTATTTTTATGAAAAATCAAAAAAGACCTAAGATTAGAATAATAGCAAAAATAGATATATATGCTAAATAAAACAAGATAAAGGCAATAAAAATTGAGGTTTCTATTGTTAAAAAAAAAAAATCCTATACCTTTGTAGATGATGGTAGTGATTTAAATATCATACCCTTCTAAACGATGAAAAAATTAGGACTAAATATCACTAGTCCATATCTTTTTATTATCAAGATAACAAATCAAGGTCCATCCATTCCAGTAGGCCAAATTAAAAATTATAAAACTTCAATAGGAAGAAAAGAATATGCCTTAATATATTATATCATTCAGATGCATACATCATAGGATTTCATTTTTTTATTGCTTAGTAGGCCATTGTTGAGGGATTCAGAAGCCATAGTCAATTGAGGAGGCAACAAGCCCTACATTACCTTTGGTCCATGGAAGAATAGAATCCAAATCTCTATACAACCTACCTTTGATTATAAGAAAATTAATCTCATTGATTTATTGGAAGATATCCAATAATCTAAAAGACAAGGTAATTTAACAAAGGTGTTCAATTCAATTGATCCAGATTCAAAGAAAATAGAATTTCTAGGTCTCTACCTTTATCATTGGAAAGATAATAGAGAATTCAAATTTTTTTTTAAGAGATCATCTAGATTCCAATTTTAATTTTTATGAATCAATTAAATTTTTAAAAGGTATATTAGATATTACAAAAGTGGAAAAAATCCATGTCATTAGTATTAAGGTAGATATAACATTAGAAGAAAAAATTAGAGTCCTTGAAAGAGATGACGACTTAATTCTACCTCTTAAATTTCAAAACACTTCATCAGGAATTTTGGTTGGCAATGAAGTTATCCCTCTATACCTAGAGATTGATATCAAAATTCTTCAAAATAATCTCTAGTATGAGAATCTGAGTGGATAATCATAGATATTTTTCATGAAGAGGAAGAGTCCAAAATTATTAAAATTAGAGGTCATTTAAACTAAGAAGAGGTTTCTAAATATTGTAATTTAATCATGAAATATCATGATGTTTTAACATGATCTTATAAAAGTTTTGAAGGGTATACAACTTGAGATGGCTCAGCACCATATTCTCCTCATTCTTGGTGTCAAGATAATTAGACAAAAGGAAAGATGTATGAACATTCAACTCCAATTGATTGTTAAGGGAGAATTGAAAAAATTGTTACAAGTCGGTTTTATTAAGCTATTGGAAATAATAGATTGGATCTTTCTTATGGTTCTTATGAAGAAAAAGAATAGTAAATTAAGAGTATGCATATATTATAGAAAATTCAACAAATACACCCAAAAAGACCATTTTTTTCCTTTCATTAATAGTGTTCTAGATGAGGTGGTGGATTACAAAACCTACACTATTATGGATGGATATTCAGGTTACAATCAAATTGCCATAGCCCCAAAAGATTGCCATAAAATAGCTTTTACCACTCCTTAGGATACTTTTATTTTTTTTATCATACCTTTTGGGCTTTGTAATGCCCTTTCTGTCTTCTAAAGAGCCATGATCTTTACCTTTTTGGATTTATTCCACAAATCTCTGATACTGTTTATAGATGATTTTAGCACCCAATCCAATTCTAGGAACCATTTAGAATATGTAGAAGAAACCTTAGGAAGGAGTAGCAAAATCGAAATTGCTTTAAATCTTGCTAAAATATACTTAGCACTCCAAAAGGAGGTTTTGTTGGATTATGTGGTTCCTAAAGAAAGAAAAAAACTTGATCTAAGATAAATAATATTCATACTTAAAATAAAACCTCCTACAACTATTAAAGGGATATAAAGAATCTTAGGATATTTTGGATGGTATTGAGAATTAATTCTTAATTATGCCACAAAAACTTCACTCATTACCAACTTCAAAAGAAAGTTGGTTAGGTTTGAATGGACAAAAGAGTGTCAAGATACCTT